AAAAATCGTTATCAGCAATCGATAAAATATTTTAAAACTTATTTTCCAGTAGGAATAAATACGAGAACACTCTAACAACAGAAATACGCAAATGGTACGCGTAGTAAAAGTCTTGTGGTGTTTCACCACAAAATGGCGGTGTGTGGTGGCAGAGATACTTTCGGTGATCTAACCGCAAAGAAGTCTGGGAAGGAGAATGGGCTCAACCCTATCGGAGTTCAACCCCGAGTGTTTATTGGAGCCGAACGCGTATACACGGCCATTTTTGCTGGCTCGAGCCGTAGGGCTCCAATAAAATGTGCATATAGCATTAGCAGATAACAAAGAATGTGATAAAGGAAAGAGTGGTATAAACAAAGATCAGTCACGGTGGTTTCTTGAAATCGATACCAGGAAAGGGGGGGGGTGGTAAAGAAAAGTTATATAACATTATATTATTTAATAATTTATTAAAATACATAAGTTTGTCCAACTCCCTGTGGTATACATCTAAACCATGTCGGGCCCTACCAATACACATTGAATATTGAAATGTTGATTTCAATATATCAATTTTCAATTTAGATTTGTGCGCATCGACAATGTTGAATTCATCACATATTGTGATATGTTCATGGGGACGTTCGTAAATAAATAATAAATGACCGTATTATGTACCGCAGCTAATGTAATTTTCTATAACGTATTTTGTATTTCAATTCGACAAATGCGCATTTGAAAATATGGGTAAAATTCAATTTCCGTTGTCGTTTTCAATATTGAGAAATGATTTTTTGGCATAATCATATTTACTTTATGTGCCATGTATTTTATACAATGAATGGTCGCCAGGTGTCACGGATTGTTGAATCATAAACCACTGGAACAGATACCATTTTCTCTGATATTTCGCAAAATATATACATCAAATTGCGTTACGTATTGGTCAGTCATAAAATATACCAAAAAATGTAACAGAAAAAAAAATTATTATTTACACATTTATTCCTACGAGAACTTATGGAAATCTCTTATTTCAAACGACAGGAAATGTGAAATATTGAAACAAAAGTTTGAGTGGCCGATATGGGGATCGAACCCACGACCTCAGCGTTATTAGCACCGCGCTCTAACCAACTGAGCTAACCGGCCAGTTCACGACAACGCCACCATATTATTCAAATTTAAAACAAAACGTAGTTTGAAACATGTTCTAAAAAATATTAACAGTAAAATTGTTGATAAAATTGATTATTTGATTAAAAAAAGGAACCTAAAACATATTACTGAGATCTAATCTCCGGACTTTTCAGGAAGCGGTGACAATGATCGAAGCACGCATACACTTGTAACCGCCCTCAGTAGGTATAGCGCAGGGACTCGTCGACTGACCGCAAAAGCCCCTAGGCGAGAACGAAGTCAGTGGTTTGCTAAATATGGCGGTGTCTTCGTTGTACCTGGGTGTTGACGTTGGTGGTACCAACACTGACGCTGTAGTGTTGAGCGGAGATAAAGTGACAGGATGGGCGAAAACTGCCACTACCAAAGATATCACAAGTGGTATAACAATGGCAATAATGGGGGCTCTGCAGGACATGAAATCCCAAGGTAATGTAATGCTGTGTGTATGGAGAGTTAATCAATCATTGTTTTTGGTACCTGGGCTATTCCATTAAAAAGTCCCCGACTTTGTCTATGGAGGTACACAGGGCTGTGGTGGGGGACATCTATCAACCGAACGCGTTCCCGTATATCCAGCGCAGGGCTATGTAAAGTCATGTTTAAAGGGCGGCAGTCGTCGTGTCGCGTCCCTGTTCGATATGGGACTCATAGCGACGTATACAACGCGTGTAAAATACA